GCCTCGGTTGTAGATGAACCGATGTCAAATCGCCTCCCTTTATGCTTCGGTTCAAACCGAGGTCAAAAGTAGTACACTTTTTGCCTCGCCTGCATATGCCTCTGTTCGAGAACCGGTGCCTATAATGAAAAACAACCGCTGTCTTTTCGCCTGCTTGTACTAGTGTGTTCTGCACTGTTCCGGTTCGTCAGTCGAAGGAAAGTGTAGATTGCTTGCTTCTAGTTTGTTAGTCGAAGGAAGATTTTATCTTTCTGTTTTTATTCACTTTTATTGTAATTTGTTGAAACTGATTTTAGTGAAATCGTTAATCACTTTTTATAGTGATTAACAACTGAACGTAGATTCTTTTGAATCGAACCAGGATAAAAATCCAGTGTGTCAATTTTTTTACTTCCTATACTCTTTTCTGTTTTATGCACATCAACTGTTTGATAAATTTTCTCTAAGAAAATTGTTTTTATAAAACGGACCATCAAAACTTGATTTGTGACCGTAACACGCTTTCCAAATATTTTATTTCGTTGCGCGACTCTATAACGGTACCGATTGTTTAGACAAATTTGATGAAGGCGGGGAGGGAGATTAAAGTTTAGATATTTTTAGAGAATTAGATTAGATAGATGAAGATGTGAGGAGGAAGTATGGACTGGGTAAGTATTTTAAAAGTAAAAAATATATTTTAGGGATGGTTTTTGTTATTAATCGCCGGAAAATTTAAAATTAATAAAAAAAAATACTTGCGGTTTTAGATATATATTTATTTTTATATGTGTATTTTAAATAAGGATATCAAACTTAATAATTATTTTAAATTTTTAAAACTTTCTTCAAAATGCATCCTATCTAAATCTAAACTTATTTTCTATTATGAAATTAGGATAAATTTGTAGGATTAACTATTTCTAAAATCCTCTTTCTGATAACTCACCAGTAATTCTTCTTCTTCATATCTAAAACTACTTATATATAAAAGTAAAGTAAATAGGTAGTTAACTTTTCTGGTCAAATACAGTCTCCTTCTAGCTTTGACCACCATAGATATTATTGAATTATGATGCTATCTCATTGGTCATTGGGGAGTGTGACCCTTTTGAACTTGGATCATTCCCACTTGTACTGATGAGATACGAGAGTTTCATATTTATACTAATTTTTCATAAGATAGAGTTATAATAGTGTGAACTAATGCATCCAACAATAATCACTCACTACAGAAAGATATGCAGGTACTTGAAATAAAGCTGAAAATTCATTGTGGCTTAATCTAATTACACAATTTCAGAAAATTTCAAGAGCTTGTTGTGCATTGCCGCAAAATATATATTCTTGGACTGAACGAAATTTCCAAACAAATCAGTCAAAGTTATGAAGGAGTGCTGCTAATTAAGGGCGAAACATAATAAACAAATTCAGTTTTATTAACTTAAATTTTGTTTATTAATACAAGAACTGTACAGTGATATTTACAACAACATTTTTGCTTTGCATCAGTTACATTATTAGCAGTACGTTATAACTTATACTTAGTAATTTTATGTAACTGGCAGTTCTATAACAACACTTTCCACTCCTCAAGCAAGTACAACCTTTGACATGTTTAAACTTGAGTTGGTGTAACATGTGTGGTTGAAGAGGTCGTAGGGCTTTCTGCAACATCACTTACTTTTCCTGACATTCTTCTCTTTGCATGGTTACATTGTTGAATGATCATTGTGGTTAATCCCCAGATTGTTTTCTCTTCACTGTTTGCATAATTCATACAGAAAACATAAACCAAGAGAGAAAATGTTGATGTGCCTCCTGTCAATATGAAGAGGACCCAGAAGCTATTTGGGCTAAGACTTGCAGTTTCTCCATTTACTTTTGTGTCTTCACATTCCTCTGATCCAAGCATTTTGTTCTCTAATTCACTTACCTTGCCGGTTTCTACTAAATCTAGAAGTGCTTTGTTTACGTGAGGAATCAATGGAGACCCCCTTGGAAATGCCTAACACACGCAACACACAAATAGTTAAACAAGCTTCCATAACCAAAGAAAGAGTCACAGAAAGAGTTAAACAAGCTTCCTTAACCAAAGAAAGAGACTAGTAAAACACTTGGTTAAACTTTATCATCAGGAACTATAAAATCATGACTGAAACTTGTCAATGAAAAGTGTTTCGCCAATAAATAATATATTTTAAAAGAATCTATTAGAAAGTATATCCTTAGAAGGTGCATAAATAAAAGTTGTGAGAATATGTTGCATCACATACAAATCCAACTCCTCCAACTTTGTACAAAGGCCCGGCTTGAATAAACTCTTTACAGTACTTTGCTACGAAAAATTTGGCTGCAGGAGCTTCCAGAAAGGCAACTCCTATTTCTTTTCTTCTGAAAGCTTCAGCAAACTCTTCAAGTTCTCCGTAGTTCCTCATGTTTTCAGGGTGGAACTTCAACACTGTCTCCACATAATGTCTCACAAAGGATCCTGAACTGTATCCAACCCTGATGTAGCTATTCCGTAGCCGATCAATATTATCTACAGTTGGTTCAAGCCGTTCAGCAGTTAGCATGCTGGCAAGGTTAGCTGTGTAAGTCTGTGTTATGATAAGTGCCACAAACAACCAAACCACCATAACTATCTTTGATAAATTGCTATGTAGCTTGTCTCCTATGTTCAGTCAAATGAGCCGAATTAGAATTAACTAAGTATTCAACAATGAGATAAATGATGGCATACAAGAACATAGAATCTTAAATTAAAATTACCATCTAACTTCATTAGAGGGGTTAATCCCAACCAAGCCATGGTCCCAGTTTGATTCAGCATGGAACCTGTAATTTCAGGACTGTGGCGTCTTTCCAACATCCAAAGAATGAAGCCATTGTAGATAACCATGGCCAGTATTAGAACCCACATAGTCTTCGTAAAAGGTTTCATAAATAACCAAGCTCTATGATCCACTTTTGATTTAAGGGGAACTACCATCACCACTCCTGGATCAGTGTATGGCTGAGTGAAATCTGCGTACTGATATCGATATGAAATTATGCTTACATCAATTACTGCATCGAAATTCTGTTTCATGCATACACAAATGAAGATGTGGGAACAAGTGTAAGTAGCTATGAAGTCCATATATGGATAAATATACGAATAAGGAAATAGACACTGTTAAAATATAATGAAAAAATTCAAGAAAAATATAGAAAATCCTAAGATAGAAGTACTAAATTGTAATCAATGTTCTAAAATATTGTAGAAAAATCTAATATAGAAAGAAAAAATCAAGAACATTCTATAGGTAAAAAACTAGGACATTCAATATAAATTATGGCTAGTATATTTTAGAATAATCTATGGGTCTATAAATATTCGTGTACTCTACCATTTGATGTAAGACAATATCTACCATAATTAAGACAACTACAAAATACACTTCTTTCAACTATTATTTTCATAGTTTTTCACAGTCTAAAATCTCTCGTAAACTGCCCTCATGGAAAATATATCATAGGAATGAACACTAGTGCAATACACAGAAATGGCATCGGTTAGTTTCGTTTATACGCACCGGTTTTACAACCGGTGCATATAGAGGCGAGGTAAAAAGAATACGTTTAATGCCTCGGTTCTAAACCGGGTCAAAAAAGGATCTATTTTTGCCTCGGTTATCTTTTGAACCGAGTTAGTATCTTAAAAAATTTAATAAAAAAAAATTTCAGAAAACTGCAGAACCATTTTCTGGGTCTTTTCCTCAATCCTTTAACACAGGAGCATGTCTCAATGAAGAATTCGAACTCAAGCATTTTCAGTTATAATTCCAAAACACAAACCAACTCCAAAAATCAGAATAAGATACATCACAGAGCAGATAAAACCACAAATCAGAGTAGGATACATCAATGAACAGATAAATCCAGCATAACAAATGGAAAAAAATGAAAGAAAATCGCTGCCATCCTCGGCCCCCATTTCCCAGCATCCTTCCTTCTCCCCCATTTCCCAGTACAAAGAACTCTCCTTTTCAATCGGTAGAACCCAGCCTTCATCCT